AATCAAAAGGGATGGGGCCCCCGCAACCCTGGCATTTGGGCCGAATACATGGCCCTCCCTCGTCATATCGCTGGCCATAGTAGGCTTCGAGCCGTGTCCTGCAGGGCTTCGGCGGAGACCTCCTGGGCTTCGGTGGTTGTGGGAGCCGCCTCCTCGAAGGTTTGGTCCTGGAAAAGGCGAGCAGGTTGGTTTACAATGCATTTAAGTAATTAGAAATAACAAGAAAACGTCCTGCTGGCGGGCCATGGCAGTGGCTTGGAAGTTGCCAGAGGCCTTGTGGTATCTTGCCAATAGGCTTGGGCCCAGCAATAAGAAGTTGGCGCACATAAATGAGAGAGAAACAAGGCAGGAGTGAGATAATGTGGCATGGCCATCTGGCAGCTGGCAGCTCCATGTGGCTCCTAAACCCAAATCCTGCAATCCATCCACGTATAGCTCGGGTTTTCCTGCCTGGCAAAACTAGAGCCGTCAAAACTCCTCTTGCACCTCTTCTGCAAAGATGGCTTCGGCTCAGTGGCCCTCAAGGCTCTGGCTGCAGTCGCTGCTCTGGAAATGCAGCTGCACTCACTTGGTCTTGACTTTCTTCTTGGTCGATGCTGTTGGCTCGTCTGCAGCTGGCTCCCTCTCGCACAACAGCATGGTTCCTCCTTGGACTCGGACATGGTTCTGTAGGATTGGGATGGTGGCTCGTCCCTGCTTCATGGTGGTCCACTGTATGCTGGCCGCTGGACCATCCCCTGGCTTGACCCAGCGGCATGGGATAATGTCCCCCTGGTCCACATCCTGCTTCCAGGAGGAAATGGCCCACTCTGCACCGAAGGTTTGGGCCGTCAGCCTGGCCGTGGGCTTCGCCTGGTCTGTCTTGGCCTTGGTGACTGGCCCCAGTGGCACGAGCTTCAGCTTCTTGGCCTGGATGGTTTTCCTGACAAACAGTGCTTGGGGGTTGGAAGCGAAGTCGAGAAGCTCCTGGTCCTGGCAAGAGTGCTTCTGGTAGGTCTCGTGCAAAGCAAAAACCATTTGGGCTTTCTGGAAGTCTTCCAAAACCATAGCATGCTCCGTGGGGAAAGCCTTGGCAACCATGGCCTCGTCTGCCAGACATGGCACATCCGCTGCTTGGACACCCTCATAGAATGGGACGGTGAACCGGTTGCCCCTTCGTTGGTCACCTCCAGCAGCTCGAACACCTTGGCCCCGCGCTCCTTAGAAAGGCAAAATCTTGGCTCAGCAATTAAAGATTTATAACACGAAACGGCATGCACAGCACGTGCATGAATTTGCAACCGAGGCACAGCTCGCCCACCTTGATGTGGCTGTTCTGCAGCAGCATGGCCTGGTACGGCTGCGCCTGGACCGCATCCTCAGTCTTGGCTGCCTCGTTGGAGGCCGCCTGGCTTGGGGTGCCCACACCCGACACCTCCTTGGTGAACTTGTCCAGGATCTCTGGCAAGCTCTCGAAGCTCAGCTGGTCTGGGGCATGCTTCAACTTCTTCATAATCACAAGGATGGTCCTCACTCAAAGCTTGCCATAGCATCTGTAGAGATAGAGTGTCTTCTGCTGGTTCTCCGCAGTGGCCGCAGGTAGCTGGCTGTGGATCAGCTTCCAGCAGTCCGCCAGCTGCCTTGACTTGGTCCAGTGTTGCTGGAGTGCAAAGTCTCCTGGAGATCCGACTTGGTCAACAACTTGGCGAACCCGTCATTGTTTTTCTGGGACGTGAGTTGTGTCGCCCAGAAGAGATTTGTGGCCTCTCGGAAACTCATGTGGGCAAGAGTCTCCTAAAATTCTTGTCCTGACATGAGCGTGGCTCCAACATGGAGCCGAATTGCGGCATGCCTGGACATGGCCCTGCATGCCACCTCCCGGAAGCCATCTGCTTGATGGCAGCTTCCAAAGTGGTTCCCAGCTGGAGTGGGCTGCGATGCAGGCTGCTTCTACTCGCTGGTGGCTCTGCCAATCGTCTTGCCAGAGTTGGCTCCGACTTGTTGGAAGAATCGTAGAAGACTTGGCATGGCTTCCTCCAGACTGGAGGCCAGTGGCTGAAGGCTAAGCTGAGAAAGCATCAGTCTTGCTGCGTGGCAAGCAGGAATATAGAAATCAATTTGCTTACCTTCTGTGTCTCCTCAGCACTAACACACCCAAAATAAGTCATGCCTCCGAGTGGCCCTCCTGGCCAGTCCTTGGTGTAAGGAGCCTTGGGCTTCCTGCACCAGCTGCTGGTTCTTCCACACCTGCTATTGGCGCTTCTGCGGATCTGTGGCGAGTTGGATATACAGTAGACCGAGTTTTCCAACAGCTGGACTTGCAAACCAACGATTAACAACTGGTGGCTCTTGGCCCATATATCAAAGTGGCTCACCATCTAATCTCCTCTGTTGGAGGGATGGCAAAGCACCTGCTTGGGCTGCAAGCACTGTATCTGGAAAAAACCATTGTTTTCTAAGACCTTCAAGACCTTGGTCACCCTGGTGTTCACTGCACACCATTCATTATGGTTTCGAGCTCTTGGATCACAGCTGGAGGGACAGTCATGGCTTCGAATTGCTGCAGCAGTGGCTCCTGTCCTGGAGTACAGTGCTGGGAGATACATTGACGGCCCCACTTTCAGCTGCAGTTGCTGCAGGCTCCATGCTTGAGAAGCTCTGATGCAAAGTGTGTTCCTAGAAGCTTTCTGTGGACAGCTAGAAGGCCTCAGAGGTTTCAGGCATGCTCTAGACAAAAATTGGGACGATGCAAATCTTAATGTAAGCAGGCTCTGCAATGGCACATTTTTCCTTCTCCGGCCCGCCACACCATCAAAACTGCCTGTAGACTCATGGTCTGGAGGGGCTACTGTCGCCGCTTCTTCAAGAAGCCTCGCTTGGCTTGACCGAGGACCTGGTCTATGTCTTCTTTGCGAATGGTTTGATATGGTCGTGAGCTGCTTGGACTCCAGGGGCGTTTCCAATGCATCAGGCACCATGGTCTTATTCACCATGAAACAAATTTCTTCACCACTTGGTGGTGGTGACTCCCGTTTCTTGGATGGCTTGGGGGCAGGGCATCTCGAACAGTTGCTCTGGTGCAGCAGCTGGCGGGCTTGTCAAATTCCGCATTTCTTTTCTTGGTCAAGTTCTGCATGGCAGCCGAACTGGAAAGACTGGTATTGACATGGCATCGTCGTCCTGTTAGCAACTGCACAATGGGCTGGGATGTTGCCCGAAGCTGGATATAAGTCTTCTCGTATTCTGGTGGAGCAGCTCCTCTGGGATCAACACCTTGGGTTCCTGCTCGTAACGGATGGCCATGACATGGGAAACTTCCGTTATGCTTGCACCGCTGGCAAACCTGGGCAGGTATCTGGGATGTCGATGCTACGGCCAGAATGGCTCCTTCAAAACCTTGGCAAAAGCATGACATGGGCACGGTGTCATGGCCATATGGCTCTCCTATTCACATGTACATGGTGACATCACATATCAAATAGTCGTCTGAGATTAAAAATATCTTACAATATTCAAAAAATATAATTCGTTCTGCTCATAGCTTTCTTCCGAAATAGACAATATATTTCTGCAAAGATACTTATTCAATCAAGAGAAAGTGTCCTTTAATATATTGCATGATCCTTCAATTCCAGACATCATCAGTCGCCACAAGGATATTCGTCATTGCAATATGCGTTGAAAATATTTCATTCTTCTATTCTTCTATTCTGGAAAAATATATATCCATGTCGATAATTGAATCTAACCCACCCTAATTTTTCTAAATAGTTAACTTAGTTATGTTAGATGGCTAAGAAGATCATAAAAAAGTTAACATAACAGAGGAGATATAACTCTTATCCATACTTATAAACACTTAACACACTCTTAGCACTTACTTATAATCGCTTAGTAATTAGGGTATAACTCCACTCAACTATGTTAACTACTTCTAAAAAACCAGGATTCCAAGTATAGTTGCGAGAAAAAACGCCTATAGGTATCATCGGCGTACCGGGTGTCGATATGGCTACAAAACAGACAGTCTTGCACCTTCTTCTAGTATGACAACATTCTGAATTTCTGTCTCCGATTTAGAGGTTTAGGGTTGAGGAGGTTCAAACCCCCTGAACTCTACCTCCCAGCACAGGACTTGAGCCGGCTATTGCAGCTTCGTCCCGTGCTCTTGCTTCCAACAACGCCATAGAACTTGGGGTCAGACCTCGCGAGACTGCTCAGGAATTCTTCGGTTATCCATATATATATATATATATATAATAAATGCTAGTATATATATATATATATATATATATTAACTCATATGAATATATATATATATATACACACAGTGGGGCCTGGGTTTTTGTTATGTGTTGGAGATAGGAGAATAAAGATTGAAAGGTGATGACGAAAATCATGATGGACATGATAGCGACTACGATGGTGATGATGATGATGATGCTGATGATGATGGGATGGGATGGGTTGGGAGATTTTGTGAGACGTGAATTGATGGGGAGTGCGCGTGCGAATTCATGTCCGTATTGATTTGGCATTGAGACGTTCCACGGTCTTCTCGAGAAAAGATAAAAAACATTTAAGTATTGCACTCGCAATATAAATGTGTTGTTCTTTTACCGAGAGGACCATGGGTTCATGATGGTTGTTGATGTATTAGACGTGCAGAAGCAGCGTGATGGCTGAACGTGATTTGCTCTCAGGAAATGCCTCGCCCGCTGTCCGTTCCTATCTTTTTGGCCATACCCAGCTATTCCGCTGATGCGCCTTTCCAAGATACTTGATCCGATCATTTTTATGTGCCAGCGATTCCGCTGATATGATTTTCCAAAAATATCGATCACGTACCATCATTTGAGGATGATCTGGGACATGTGCCAGCTCAGAAGCTCACCTGTGCGCTCCCACATGTCTCGGCCCCTGTTCCAATACTCGAACTGGGCTGAGCGTACTTTGGAAATCATTGCAATCGACCCTACCTTACTGTTCTGATTCAAGGTAAGTCGGCTCTTATTGAATTTTCATGCGAGATCGACAATTTGCGTCCTGATCTTTACAGTCAGACGCTTGTTGATGGGCAAGAGCACCTTCCTCAACTTGACGTAGGTAGGCTGCTGCCACACCCACCTTCCACCGACCGAAACCTGGCGCTTCTTGTGAACCACGGAAGCATGCAAGACGCCCCGCGTCTTGGAGTTATACGCACGAGCACTGTCGGTGTGTAGCAACACCTGCTTGTCCTTCAATCGTTTGTCGGCTATGGGCTTCCAATCGCACTTCTTGATGGGGCCAGGCCCCGGTGACCGTGGCTTCGTGGGCCTCAGCTGTCGGGAACCGGTATCATTCCAACACAGTCGACATCAGCCCGGCATCATATGATATATCACATACGATTTATACAAGAAGCTACGAGGAAAGGCGGATCAACACCAGGGATTCCGGCTTGCCACGTTGGACCATGCCAACCCACTACTCCCACATCATCGTCTTCGAAGGCGACTCCGTTTCCTCCAAGGGGATGAGCTTTTTGTCGAAGACGGACTGATCCACTTCGACGTCCTGCCATGCATTCTTCTGACCGCCGAACTCCATACCTTTCTGGACCATTTCCACATGGGCGTTTTGCCACCAAGCCTCGTACACGGTAAAACTGGGTCTGGGCACATGATTTAGTCTGGTACGGGCACTCATTATTGGGGAAGGAAGTTTGCCTTCGGCACCAGTCGCCTCTTCCTCTTCGACAACGTCCATCTCGTCACCGTCTATCTCGGCGTCTTCACACTGGTGCTGCCCTGGGAATTTACCGACACTGCTTCTTCGACTTCTGCAGGGCAAGTCTTCTCACGGCATCTCTTCGCGGAAGAAGGGTAGACGAAGCGTGAAGTATTCGTCAACCTCTTGCGCCGTGCTGTTGGGTCCGCGAGACGAACTGGAACTGGAGCGAGCGGCTATAAGTCTGGGGAGTCCTGAGATGATTCGGATGCTTCAATCACCCGTCTCGACGTCTGTCGGCGAAATGACTCATCTTGAATCTTCTTATTCCAGTGCTTGATGAAGGCGTCGACCTTTGCAAAGTCGTTGAGTGCTGCCCCCGCATTATCCATGAGCTCGAGCTCCCTAGACACCTCACCATCATAGTCCGGGCTTCGTTCAATCTTGCCTTGTTGTAATATGGCTTGTCCTTCTCACTAAGTAGGTCGAGATGAATGTCCTCGACCGTGATTCTGTATACTGGCGTCTCTGGGTTCTCTGACGACATTCGTAGATATAAGGCATGCTTCCCAAAGACGAAAACGATGCTGCGCTTGAGAACCGCAAGAGTGTCACCCTCTCCATCTTCCTTGAAGATCTTTGTCATCATCTTCATGAATTCGACCATCGTAATAGTGGTGCGACTCCCCTCCGTTTGCGGCTCATCATTCGGCTCGGAGTCGTTTGAAGCACAGATTCTCATCCCATTGCGTGTCAGCCGATGTCAGAGTGTCTGCCGCTGCAGGTCTGTTCCTTATCGGCCGTAATGAAGCTCTTGAGATCCGAGGCGCTCACTCGATCCCTTTGGGGATCGTTAAGGATCATCGCTTCTTGGACCCGCGGCACTCGTTGTCTGAAATTTTCTAGAGCCTTCACTCTTCTCCAACCCGCACTGTTGACAGCCCTTGCTCTCGGACGTGGTAGCGGCCGTAGGCGAGGACCATCGTGATAACGAACGGAGTTTTTCCAACTCCGGGCATGCCAAGAAGAAGCAAGTCGTGCGTCATGGTCAGCGGGAGAATGAACTTGACCAAGTCGTAGACGAAACTCTTCAGAGAGAACAACGTCAGCGCGAATTCTGTCTGAGGTTTCGCTCCGGACAATCCCAGTCCTCGCGAATCTCGCAGAGAATCGAAAATGTCTGCTCGTTTTGAGCATCCTCCTCCGGACCTGGGCATTGATATAGTCTATCCCAGCCGTCAGAGCCTCAATATCTGGAGTCTATTGTGATGGGGAGCTCCTCTGAATGGGCTGGTGCTTCTGCACCACGTGGTTCCACAGGAGGCGATATCCCGGTAGACGCTCCAACAGGTGCTAAATGGCCTTCCGAAGAGCCCAGGGACCCTGGCGGAAGACAGGAATGTAAGCATTACCAGTGCAGAGTTCCAGCGCACTACTTACGGCAACCTTGTCGGCAAAGTGAAGACTGTTGAGCACATTCATGGCGCCGTCCGCCAAGTTGGAAACGATAATGCCCAGCTTGGCACGCGAGGGAAGGTTGCCGTTGAGGGCTACACAGGAAGGTCCGTATCTCCCCTTATTAGATCATTTCGCCCAAGCGAGCGAAACCCCCGAATTCGGGGACCTCAGAGTGGAAATCAAACATAAGTGTAGCGGTTCGAATTCCATCATATCGGCAGCAGGCGCTGGAGAGGAAGTCCTCCATGGTGGTGGAGTTCTCTATCTCCGTCGAAGGAACGTGTCCCATCTGTGGTACCGCCAAAGCCTCGACTGACCACTCCTTCCCACCCACGAGTTCCATGGTGGATTCCAACAGGTTAGCCATGAGTTCACGAGATGATGCGACAAAGAGAATTGAGGCTACAGGCGAAAGGCAAGTGTCTCGAGAGAAGCACAAGGCAGAAGAAGAGGATGTGTTCTGGTTGTGAGAAGTCCCGAATAGTTGGTAGGTATGGTGCATAAGAAGTAAGCCACTGCCAAAATATTTTCTTCCGAAGCATACACTCTCTACTCAAGCAACTTAGGCTCGATTCCACTCTGCCGTTGCCTCCTTCAAAGCCTTTAAGACTCTGTAGGCGACACGACGACGCTTTGGATTGTCATAACCATCGTCCAAAGTGCGAAGCATGCTGTTCCATGCATCGCCCCATTCAGCTGTCCATGTGTAGGTCTCGGACTCTGTGTCCTTCAGCATCTTCCTCATGTCCTCGGATTTGATGCTATCGTTATTGCCACTGGGTGACGATGAGCTATCCGAGTCGCTGTCATCCGCCTTTGTCGCGTACTCCGCGGGATTGCTGCTCGTGGTTCTGGTCCTCCTCTAGGTTGTCGGTCTCCGGGTTCTGGTTCTCCTTGGGCTCGGTATTGTCAACGATCTCGGGCGGATTCATAACGGCGGTCGGCGGTGCGTCTATGATTGCGGGCGGCTCTTTGCGAACACGTTTTCGTTTGGCCAGAATCTTGAAGTACTGCTCCTTTGCGAGGACGCTGCAGCCTCCGCTTTGGGCCGCAGCGAGCTTCAAGGGTTTTTGTATGTTGCCGAGGATAACCTGAAGTGCCGAAGATATCATCGGAGTGCGTGTCGAGTGGATCGGCACGTCACCGCTGACGATTGTCTCCATCATGAGCTCGTCATTCCTGGTCACTCCCCATGGCGTCTGATATGCCCGTGCTGTCTCGGATGGGGCCGGCGCAGCAGAGGATGAGGAGGCTGGAGACAATCGGAGCAGGGCCTCGCCGTTGTGAAAAGCGACGGTGCCCGTGATATTATGGCAGAAGATAACAAGGATACGGCGTAGCGGGTTTGAGATACCAAGGGCTGCAACGTGAAGGATGCATTTGTTTCAAGCTCTCTTGCTTTGCACATGTCGCAGATATGCACATGCAGACTGCCGCAGATGCACGCATGCAGATTGTCGCAACCGTGGTGGAAGTAACAACACCAAGAAGCGTAGAGGACCATATTGAAATATTGAAAATCATTGAATTTCACGTGCTGCGCTGGCTTCGTCGCTTTGCTTCTTCTGCGCTGGCTTCGTCGCTTTGCTTCTTCTTTTGTTCCCTGCGCGAACAACTTTACTTTGCATAGCTGCAAGGCCGCGTTGCTTAGTATCATGATTCAGCTCCCTTTGGCGCGTGAGCTCATAAATTCGATTCGGCAGCACTATACTCACGCGACGACGTGTGACTTCCTTTGGCTGGACAGAGAATCGTGCGTCGTGCTGTGCTTTGTGGTTGGAGGCCTCTGGCTCCATAACATCGTGGAGGTCAGGCGCCTGTTGTTGAGCCCGAAGTGCTTTTGGCAGATATCGATGCTATGGGCGATTGGGAGGATGCAGCCGACTCTGCTTCGGCAGTTGCTTCGTGACTTCTGCTTTGCAATCTGGTGCTTCGTCTTCCGAGGTGCCAGAGGTCCCACTCCCGACGTCTTCCCCATCATCTCCAAGGCAGGCGACAGCTGCTTTCACAGGCGAGGCCGAATTGGATTCAGGGAAAGCCATATTGAAAGATTGAGGCCATATTGAATTTCAATATGGCGGATCCAAGATCTAAGATTGCACGGGGTTCTTGGAAGGAATCTTGGATTCAGGGAAAGTCATATTGACATATTGAGGTCATATTGAATTTCAATATGGCGGATCTAAGATCCAAGATTGCACGGGACTCTTGGAAGGAATCTTGGATTCAGGGAGAGTCATATTGAAATATTGAAGTCATATTGAGTTTCAATATAGTAGGTCCAAGATCCATGATCCAAGATTCCTCCCCAAGAGTCCCGTGCAATCTTGGATCTTGGATCCGCCATATTGAAATTCAATATGGCCCAATATTTCAATATGGATGGCTCTCCCTGAATCCAAGATTCCTCCCCAAGAGTCCCGCACAATCTTGGATCTTGGATCCGCCATATTGAAACTCAGTGGGACCCAATATTTCAATATGGACTTCCCCGAGAACATATTGATATATTGGGCCGCATTGGGTTTCAATATGGTCGGTTCGTGCGGCGATGATGAGATGATCCGAAATATGTGAGTTGATGAGAAGACACTTGCGAGTGGAAGAGTGGTCGTGAGGAGATGTTGGTATGCAAAAGGAGCTGAACAGAGAGCAAAAATATGGATCTTTGGAAGGGGGGGTCCCATATATATATATATATATATATATATATATATGCTCGGTGGATCATGGGCGGCAGGTAGATCATGGGGGGGGGTTAACCATATAAATAAATATATATGCTAACCCCCCCCGAAGAACTACCGCGGAGGTGCCGCGATAATGCCAGCAATCCTCGTAGGTTTAGGCTTCTATTGAATGATCCAGGCTTAGTGTTAGATTTTGAGGTTCGGGGGGGACAGCATATGTATATCGGCAGCCGCCTTCATTCTCAATTGTTGTGACCCTTCTCACAGATATTCTGACATATGATTTCCCCACGATGAAAGTCCTGTCTGTCGGAATACCCGAAGCTCAATATGGGCACGAGCCTTAGCTTCCTACGTAGCCTTCACTACAGTTTCAGATCCAAGCCCCAGCAATACGTATGAATGACCGTGAGCATTGACTGACTCCTATTCCTACACAACAATATCTTAAGACTATCCCTGCCACTGGACCTCGAGCTGTTGGTTAATACAAGGTTAATACAATCACATACATCAGCTAGACAGGTCCCCTGATAGTAATGATATTGCCGTCCCCCAAGATGGACCTTACTCGCGAACTTAATATTGCCCAGATGTAGTTGTGGGTTCCCATTCAAGTCTCCGAAGTTAGAATCCATGGCATCCCCATTTCTAGTTACTGTTAATATTAATAAATATAAGCTAAGTACTGCCCAAACATTTGCTTCAACGGTTGCCGTCATATTCATGCTAATTTAAACTAACCACGAAACGGATTCCATTAAGAACCGCGATCCTTGCTGTCTTCGCTCTGGTGTTCCCCAAAGGATGGCCCTTAGATTTTTAGGGGTTATACCAGCATTTGTTTGTTTACCTCAACATATAGTACATGGCGCTCCCTTTCTCACTGTCGGACTTGCCCGTTTGCGGTATGTACATTTATGTGTCTATATACACATA